TTTTTAAAATAAAAAAAATAATAGACAAATAAAAAAAGATAACAAAGGGTGGGTGAAGCAAGCGAATGGCCTACTTGAAAATTCGTTGCAACTGGTCCTCCACATCGAATCCAGGAAACAGAGGGCGTCCCTAGACATTTCATAAACCAATAAAAAAAGATAACAATCTAAGGGTGAAGCAAGCGAATGGCCTACTTGAAAATTCGTTGCAACTGGTCCTCCACATCGAATCCAGGAAACAGAGGGCGTCCCGCATTAGACATTTCGGCAAAAATGCACCCAGCAGACCACACATCGATTGAAGTTGTATAGAGCTTGGCACCGAGTAGTACATCTGGTGGTCTATACCACAAAGTAACCACCTGAATTAATGGAAAATAGACAGACTGTTGAACTAGTCTGTTTGCATGGCACCTCGCCGAACCATAGTTGCGTGCATAAATGTATCCGTTCCTTCTGAATTTCATACGTGACACTCTCCCTTCTGAACTATCGTTCAGTTGTAGCACCTTTACGGTGTCTAACTCCCACGCCACCCAAAGGAAGCACGAGGGCTGGGATAGTCCCAAGTTGCGCAATTTTATACTGGCAGTCGAGAGGCAGTCGGGTTCGAACCACGAACCTTCCGGTCAGTAAATCCACGCTCTAATCACTTTTGCCATCTCTTCTGAACTAGGCACATAAACATATAGACGACGAAGAGCAAAATTATCAGCATAACTTCTGTGGATTGCAATGCAGTATCATATGTGATATCTCACTCCCACAATGACCACCTCAATCCTGTCCCATGTGATTGGGCTTTGAATTGATATACTGCCGAAGACCACCCCCATACTTTCCCCAGATAGTCTAAAGAATCAATTTTTCCTTTCTACTGTATTAAAGATGAAAACGAGTGAAATGGGTACCGGTTTTTGAAACAACTACCTGATTGGTTTTCGAAGTTGCCTAACACGAACTGTTTAACATATAGCGATTAGTTTCTTCTGGAGGCCACAGTGTTCGGAGACAAACCGACCTTGACAACGAACAACAAGCTGGTTGGACGAATGTGTCACGTGTGGGCTACGGGCTAAACGAAGGCCTGTCTTGGTTGCTCAGAATGTGAGTCAATTTGGATAAAGCATCTATGGCTCGACGTTTCTCGCTCCCTCATGAGGATTCTAGCGCAATCATGTTGAACATTCTGTGATGACCATATAAATACAGTTGCAATAATCTTCGTCTCCAGCAGCCGTGCCTAGTGATATGCCATAGTGGGCGGAGCAGGAAGCCAAGGACTGACATAGAAGTTGCATCACCGCCAGCAAGACAACACGAAGGCTGTCCGCTCTAATTGGGTACAGAGCGCAAACAGACGCTACAAGCGAACAGCCAAACGTGATCTCATTTGGAGAGTTATATATCCCTTGAACGAGGTGAAAAAGACCGTACCTCACCAGATGCACAAACCTCCTCGGAAGGCTCATGTCAATACACTCCTTTCAAGATAATCCATCAAAGTGTGGTCCCATGGAATACATGCGAATCAGAAATATTGCTCCTTAGGATTTCACGGTGCACCGTATCTTGATGAAATAGGTACCTTCCTACGGAAATATCATATTAGACTGGTAGTTTCTTCTTCACGGTTGAGCCAGTCCCAGGAAAGATCACCCTTGTTAAATCAGACCTGTGTTAACCGGCGTTTTTCGCAAATTTTCAGCATACAAGATAGAGGTTTAAGGGTTCCATGGGTAGCGCTTCAAAAACAGTCGCATATTTACGAAGGAAACTGCGTTAGCTAATAATTCGCGAATATTTGCATACCCTAACTTGAATAGGAAGGCGGAAAATCACATTGCCTTAACAGCGTTTGCTACAGCAAATAATTAGCACATTTGTGAACATCCTCAATACCATGAAATGAATCGACATCAGTGAGTAGAAAGTCAGTTGGCACGCACGCCGACCTGTTCCGCAGGGTTTTGGATCCAAAGGGGCGTTGTCATGCAGTGCTGATATCAACGATCAATCAGGCCGCGGGGTAGCAGTAGTGCAAGAGTTTGTTAACTGATTGTTCCCCGTGGTTCTCATCAGCAATTCATTTAATTCATTGCTTTTATTGGGTGGCTGGGGTATGTTTGAAACTGACGGACAGGACAAGGAACTGTTAATATCCGACATGAATGTACTCACAAAAATGTTTGATTAAAATGGCTTGTGTGTCTGATATACGCATGATATACTTTGTTTTACACTAACTTGGTCTCGTACCCAGCTGCGATAAGACTCCAACTGAGAAAATACAATAAGTGCATTTAAACTGTTTTTGTATGCGTACGGACGGTAAGCGACCTAGTGGGTTCCTCCGCGGATATCGCTTCAACCAACGGAATAGCAAAGGTTTGACCTATAAGATGGCACGGCAACATAATAAGTTCGCAGTCAATTGGTGGCCTGTGAATGCTCAATGTAGTTCAAATGCCGTCAGGGAGGACAGCTAGGAAATTCATTGCACACAGCAACCGGAAAGCCCAATCTGAACAAACCTGATAGTCAGATGAAACCACCAACATAGTCTTTCCCAACTGTCCCCTAGACTATCGGATTAGCTAAGTTCAGTAAATAAACCAAAATACATGCTCACGTTTCCTCCTCCCTTAGTACCGACACATCTAGGAGGGGGCGGTGAGCCGGATTTCTTCAGCAGTAGGAATGTTGCTGAGTTGACCCACCTATTCAACAGCTAATCGACGCATTCACACACCTGCTCAAGACGTGTTGCTGCAGGCCACTGTTTGGGCGATTCTATGTACAGTGGAACGTTTAGATGTAGCTCCGGTTATTCACTAGCCCCTTCTAAACTTTTTTGTTAGTTGTTGCATAGTGACTAGCGATATTGTGTTGCAGGGAGATGCGAAGACTTCAAAGATGAGACGGCTTGACTCGTTGGTCAGAGAACTTACGCCATCAAGATCACAGATACGTCAGACCAATTAGGAGAATCTCTCCAAAATCTACCAAAACCTTAATTTTTATCACACCGCCAGAAGCGAAAATTCTGGAACCTTCTGATGGACCACCGATTCACTATGTCAACATTAGTGTAATCAGCGCTTGTGAATATAACCTCATAAGCCAATGTATTGGTGATGAGTCAACATCACCAGTCCCTGAACAGTATGCCACCACCTATAAAATAATTGGTTGTAGGGTTAGCAGGCAACACGGAATCGAAGGTGACATCAAAGCTTTACAAGCTGATGACAATATCGGCCAATAAGCCAAGCTTTTCACTGAAGGCAGATTCGAGCTGTTTTAGTCAATAGTGCAGTTGAATGTTATCGACGATTTCGATCAAACTAAGATCTACCGAATACAAGTGTCACAGAGCCAATCAGAGAACGGATGAACCATCAGCGAATATATCTCAACGGTTAACGAAGCACACATGAGGAGCACCGAGGACCATCATCATTAACATCAACAGCATGACATCGAGCACCCAGCGATGTTGTCTGTAATCGAATGAAACTAACACACTGAGATAGTCGTAGAGAGATCCCAGCACCTCGTGCAATTGGTTGGGACGTCACAGACAAAGGCTGACTAACGGCAGTGCAGTTGCTGAGAGAGAATAATTTGTTTATTACGGCAAGAACCCATGGTGTCGCAAATACGTGGTGAGATATACTGGGTAGGACCGCAGGGCCGTGGTGAGGTAGCAAGGCAAAATTAACGATTAACTGAGATGACAAGCCAGGCTGGATAGCCTCAACAATTAGCTCGTGTCTGAAGAGGTCCAAATCACTTCCGCTGAAAGTCCATGTGATAGAAACTAGATGGTGATATGGGATGTTGTTGAGGCCTTCTCAAACCAACTAGCACTTGAGGCTTGTCGACCGACGGATGATTAGGTCTGCATGTAAGCTGACTTTACTTCGATCGTGCTGAGGCGACTATATATGTCAGGAGAGACGGTTAATCCCCGCACGGAAACAGCCACCAAACTTAGTTACATTACGGCGACTGGCTCTTGTGAGGAAATAAGTCTACCGCCATAAGATGGAGTGAATAAGTTCACTGGGATGTAGTACGGTTCAGCTACTATCGGTTATTGGCGACGAGAACATGTAAGAAAGTGCTGTAGCAATGAGGACAAGACACAATTACAGAGTTTTATTATAGTAAACGAGGAAGCATATGCCTCGGAACGAATGGATAAGCGAGACAAATCGCGATATGGTAGGAACAGAGACATACCTCGGCGGAGTACTGGCGGACCGGAATGCCATAAGCACGCGCAAGCCCAAAATCAGCCAACTTTAGCTCTCCATTGTCATTGATAAGTAGGTTTTGTGGTTTTAAATCCCGGTGGAGAACGTTATGGTTGTGGCAAAACTGAAGCCCACGTAGCAGCTGATACATGAACAACTAGAGCGGGAATTAAGAAGATGGAGACAAATAGAACACGGAAAACTGGTAATGCGTGCTACAATAAAATATCGTTACCGCGAACAAGCACCATAAATAAGGCAGAGAAATGGTGTTGGTGGTTGAGGCCGGTATTGACCCTATACTGAGCTTCATACTAAAAACATTATCCAGTTATGGAAAGCTGGGAACCAAAACCCCCAAAATGGGAATACTTGAAAACCATTATTCATCGGTTATAAAGGCTGGGAAAATAAACCTCAAAAGAGACTAATCCTCAGAAGAGGAGGTTTGTTGATACCTTCATGGTTATACTGCAGTGCGAGTCCCTCATATCCAGTCAGTAATTTTAGGTAGCCTCTTCGAAGGGTAAGACCTTATCCAAACAAAATTTAAATAAACTTGTCTCCCAGTGAAATGTTACTACTCAGATTGTAAGCAAAAGTAGTCGCCATTTTAGCGAACTTTTACCGCGTAGTCTGAACTTCTGACAAAAGTTCATGTTCGAGTATAAGTGAAGAAATTGACCGTCAACACATGGTGCTCTTGATCCATTTTTAATGGCTTCCCCACCCCCGCCCTCCTGGCGGTACTGCGTACATCCTCACACGTTCACTGAAGCTAATGGGTAGACAGCTGGAGCGGCCATCAAAAATGGGAGCCACACAACCGAATGCTATTCGCCAAACGGTAAAGGCCGTTCATCAGGTAGGGCTTCCGGATGTTTACCCCTATCCATTCTATTTACTTTAAAGTCCAGCAGGTCGATCTCTCCAGTGATCTTTGCTGGATATGTGAACGGCCCCTGTGAAAATAACACAAGCCTAACAGTACGGTGACGTGTCTGTTAAAGTATTTAACTTGTTTGAACACTTGCAGATCCTGAGGGGTGAGCCAGAGTCCCAAAAATTTGTGATTCGTTTTTCGTAAAGTTCTTCTAAGTCTGTGATTCTCATGCGAACCGAACTAACAGGTGCCAAAAGCAGACAACCCGAACGAGAACGACACCGTGTAAGTTGAGGAAAACGCTATGCGCATTACTGCTGCATGAGTGTCCAAGTTAAACTGTTTATACTACATTAAATCCGCATATTTCCACGAACCTCAATGACTAAGGAGCTTCATCGTTTATACCTCACCCCACACGCCCCAGAATGAGCTGGAGTGAACGGCAGATTTGGGTTCTTTGTCCAAAATCAGATGAACAAATTGATGTATTACGGTTCAAAAACCAAACTATCTATATGACCTATGAAGATGGCTAAGAAACCTGCAATGGTTGTTTTGCTGGAAACCTAGCGACAAACGATTTGTTGAACAGGCTCAATTTGAGTAGAATCCTGCGACGCAGTCACAGTGAACATATGCTGAGTTTTCCCAGCCAAATAAACCCTTTGCTGCGGAAGATAGAAGGAAGGAACAGGATTTGCAGCATTTCTCGCTGTTTATCATCGTATCAGGCAGAAAACAACCAGTCAAAACTACCCGTTCTATGTAACGCGAGTCACAAGCAACAGCCCAGGACCCTATCGACTGTCATTCAGAGTGACCGTCAGCAATCAAATTACCGAGAAATTTATTACTTATTCACCAGATGGCAGTTTTCAAATGCAACTGAAATATTTTTCGGTTCTAAAACGATTACATCATATGACTTTTCTGGATACCAGAATCCCTACCATAAACGGGAGCACATATCACCTTAGTGACTCTCCTATGAGGCAACTTCACTCCTCAAGTTCTATTGTATGATGCTAATCTGGGATTTTAAGTGAAGCATACATTGTACCGGGATCCACTGGAGTAGATTGACAACGAGTAGTAGTTCTTAATAGCCTTACAACTCATGGTTACGTGGGAAAATACAGAAGGAACCGATTGGGACATAGTAAGAGGAGGCTGAGCTACAAACAGTGACCAACATTCCGGTTTGTTTGACTCCATAATCTAGCACGATTGCAAATGCGTGCATACCAGTGTACTGTTAAGATACTAGTCACCGCCCACAAAAGTGAACGAATTAGAAAAGCCGGTAAAAAAACCCAAGTACTGGAGCAGGCGACTGTACGGTCGAGGATGGGCGGTCCTGTACCGCGCACTGCAAACAAGCCACCTGTAGTTCCAGATAACATTCAGCTCCACCAAAAGCTACAATAGGAAATCCATGAGATTCAAACGTCTGCTACTTGTCTATTTGGCACGAGTATATAACTAGTAAAGTTTGTAGTTCAATAAATAACCTCAATTTTTATAAATATTATGCTTCGTTTGTCAGCATCAAAAAAAAGAGGCCGAGCTATTGCTAACTCGCATACACACACTAATTTTGGAAACTGTAGAGCAGAAAAGTGGCCGCAAACAGTGAGTTAACGACCCGAATTGAGTAGTCCCGCTGGATAAAGGCTGCATTACTCCCAAATTCGGAGGCAACCAGAACTGACAACAAAAACTAGTTCCTCTCGGGCAAAAGCTTGTCCCCACCGATCGCCACATTGGCTTATGCGTACACCAAAAATAAAAGCATAGCAAACCTTAACCGTCTTTTGATCGATTTCTCCATTGCAGCTGTCAAAATACTTTTTGAGATCCTGATCACAGTATTCGAACACAATGGTCAACCTCGATTCACTCAGCAGCACATCGAATAACCTAGAGGAATATGGATGATGCGACTGAAAAGGAGATGATTACTACCTCACGATGTTTTTATGCTTCAGCTCTTTTAGCAAACAAATTTCACGAAAAGCAGAACTCGGTATTCCTTCATCATCATTTTCTAGGCGGACACGCTTAAGCGCAACGATTTCGTGTGTGTCCCGATTTCTCGCTTTATAAACCTTGCCATATGTGCCTGTGTGTTCGAGTGGTTCAAGCGAGTCAGTTTATTAACACCTACCTTCACCAATTTTCTCCAACTTTTCGTACTTCAGGACCACTTGGTTGGTCATTGTAGTACAGCATGAAAATGCGGGGGTGAACAGCCTTACAGTACAACCAAATGCAACCGCATATCTGAAAGCTATCCGATAAGCAGCTGGAAAAAATGAAATAAAAGGGTTACAGAATAGAAAAAACAGGTTTGTAGCCAGTGGTTTCTTGTTTCAGTTTCCACTGGGGTTCGACGGTCGAACCCAACACCGACTGATCGGTTGCTCCTGTCTAGTTTGAGCAACCTGGCAGTATCTTAGCCTCCGTACCTCCCTCAAGTTGCACTGAAGACGTCAAAATTGGAAAACTTTTATTTTGTTTCCCACTCCCATCCATTGTTGGGGTGCAACAGTTTAAAAATCAAAATTTCAGTGTTCTGGAAGTTTGTCTGTGTATGCAATTCTAGTCTTTGTACAAAAAATCAACGGATACATTGTCGCACGAGCTTAACGACAGAAAAAGACGTTGCTACTGATAACATTTGACAGCAGTGGTGATAGAAAAGTCGGCAACTTCCAGTGTTTATAAGTCGTGCAGCCATAAGCCAACACGTCTGTTTCACTGCCTCAGAGCCGGGTAGGATCATTCTAGAGGGCATGGGAATGTGTCCAAACCAGAACACCGATACAAAACGGTGAATATCCAGTTAGTTTTTTCAGTGAGGGAAGATTATCTATTGCAAAATCTATCACAAGATAGACCATAACGCGCCTTTTAAGTGCACTGATGCACAAAAGCCGTCAGTATCTGATCATCGATGCCTTCGAGGCATTGGCCGGGTCTGGAGCGAAAATCCGATTAGCAGTACTGAGGTAAGCCATATGGATTAAGGAAAAAAAGGAACGCCCACACCATAGATGTGTTATTTACGCTTCTCATTACGCAGTTTCGGAGTTGTAATCAGCGTGCAAGAGGAGCATCCACCTCGCGACACAGAGTTGGATAGTCCAGGGCATGGCAGTCAAGTATAGCCAGAAAACTCAACGGACTAGAAAACTGCCAACTCCCAAGACGGGGACCACGCGACTAGACGCTGCTAGACAGGACAGACAACCAACCAGCCAGCGGCGTTCGTATGTCAAACCTATTGCTTTCAATGGATAACTCTCAATATACCTGAAACAACGGGTCATAACATCACCTCTAAAGCTTCGGCAGTTCCCCCCACGCTGTCCCGTCTTCCGACTCAATGACAATCGGGGGCCACAAGAGTTGTTGTTCTAATTGTTCAGTCTAGTGGTCAAGGTATTATTACATACTGAAAATGGTCATGCCACTTTGGTTCATGACGGTATCCCTCGCAGACGATCTCCGGATATCAGTCTGACACACTAACCGAAATGGTCTTCGGACATTCCTCGGTCTCCTTCATATCCTTAGCCTCCCATGACCACCAAGCTTAACCGTCCACACGCATGCAGACAATTTGCTATGCTAGGTTATTTTCCGGACCTGTGGGAACGTTTCACGGAGATTGAAGCAATGCTGTTGTTCTGTCTTGTATTCGGCGCTTGGGCTGACCTGGTAGCGCTGTGCCACAGACGAGCCTACCTGCACTGTGCAAAAAGATGGCGACCCCGTTCCAGTGCGAATTGATATATGACGTTGAGCCAGTTGGACAAGAGTTGAGCAGACGGCTCTGACATATTCGTCCAACTTTGGGATCCTCCAGCCTCATAGTTCCGAAGCGCTTTGTCCGCCCCTTATGTGGCGCTGAAAAGCAGAGGAAAAGCGACCTCGGACGAGGGCATTGTCAGAATCCGTATAAGTGTCGCAAAACGGACGACAGTCAGTAATTGATCCGCGCTATCACTGACAGTGTGATCAATTCGGGTGTGTGGCCAGCAAGCTGATGGAGGACACCATGTGGCTAGACGACGTCCATTACTCGGGAAGTTAGTACTGCACAAAGACAATCTGTAGTCAGCACGTAGCGGAGGCAGTCTTTCGCTATGATCTGTACGTACCGAGTTTAATCCAAGGCATCCACCCAAATGAGTCTCGGATGTGATAAGTTTGTCTGTGTGTTCAGATATTTGGCAACCACAACAATATATGGGTTTTCGTCCACAATGACGAGACATCCGCGGCGTCATAAAAGTAGCTTTTGATAATGTCAGAACTACAGTGAGTCGTGACATAAGCAGACACGACAAACAACGACCAAACAATTTCACTGACCTTGCCAGATGAACCACATGGAGTTGGCTGTCAACGGGCAAAGACCAATCCGCCCGATGACTAAGGGCTCTGCCAACCCCCGCACATTCTACCGCAATGGCGCTTGGATTGTCAGAAGTGTGTAGCCGGAAACGAGTGGAGGGTCATGAGGCAGTTAACTCAGTTATTGTGCTTGGATTTAAAGGCTTATTTCTAATCCACAGCAAACTTCAGTGTCAAGCGAATCCATCGTGGGAGCAAGAGCAGCCTGTTATCTTGCTTGCTTCAGAGTTCAAACACTAGAAGCAGACAGATGGACGGAACGTCTAGCCTTTAGAATTGATTTTGGGATGCTTCAGGCTGTCAGCGCCAACTGATGTATAGATGTTGCGGCCAACATCGATGTGAGACGAAGGAAGTCGGTAGCCTTATTGTAGGGCCCAACAAGGAGGTCTGTGTGCCATATGCAGAAATTAAGATGACCAGACTGGTGACACCACGCGACGGCTGATGTAAAATGACGGTATTGTCAATTGTAGGTATCGTGGCTTTACGTGGACTGGTATACTGCTGTGGCCCTCAGACCTAGACTGTTGGACGAATAAGGTTCTCGACAAAAGCCTCCGACTCACACACCCGACCACAAGGCAGCGGTGTCTGGTGCGAAATGTCAGCCCATCCACTTTTTAAATCACATGTCTCCACACATGTTTCAAACGCCAACCTGGAGGCCTACGAGTCTGTGTTGATCACAAAACTATCCGTTGGCTCTGCAAGCATCGCACAGACGGCCTCTAGTATAATCCAATGGGTCACGAAGGTACATAAACAGCCACAAGACGGTAAGCTCCGGTCTTCGTGATGGAGTTGACTATAGATCGAGCTCTAGGTATTTCAGTGATTAGAGCGGGTTAGGGCCGATATAGAAGCTTGGGAGAACAATACCTGTATCCATAAGTGATGATTCAGTAAGCGTAACACAAACCGGACCACAACGGTTGATAATGCTAGATGCTGTCTGTGACTTTGATGCGAAGAGGCCTTTCGTCCGTGAGCAAGACGCTCTAGAATAAGACATATATACCATTGGCGAAACACCAAAAAATCCGAGTATCATGTAGAAACAAGGCTCCATCACTCTTGCTTCACTGTCGTACAACCATAAAGTTGTATTTAAAGCCTAACAGTCAAAAGAAGAGGAGAGTACGTGAGGGAGGGGACCTGCTGCTTGCCTATGTCAACTATTCTGAGGTGTCTACACCTCCAGGCGCTCAATCATCAATCTTGAAAGAAAATGGCAGCACGGACGCCATTGACATCGATCAGCCGACACTTCTTGCAATGTCTCCAGATAAGCGCAGGCGATGTCGCGGAGGCCCCATCCTAGAAGGCGAACAACACCAACAACAGCCAGAATCTTTTAAATTTATTTCACGCCCTTTTGTCAAATCATGCGTTGTCCATCTCGCGATTTACGCCATTCTGAAGTAGACACGAAGAACATCGCTCGTCCCGGTAGATGCTGTTTTGACATGCGCAGCACATAACCAAACCACCGCAGCTGATGATGCTGAATGGTTTTCGCGATTGAAGTACCTGCTGTATAAGCAGATACCCGTTTTCTAACCACCTTGTTGCTAATCCGATGACGCCATCCAACACCAACTACGCTTCTGAGGCATCGGTGGCCAAAAACCTGAAGACGCCTCACACCATCTACTCACAGAGGCCACATCTCGCACTCATACAACAACACTGTAGCCTGGTACACGCGACCCTTAAGACTCAGTGGTATGCCTTTTGACGACATAACTGACGCACATCAGCAAATGTAGTTTGGGCCTGTGAGAATCCTGCACTGATTTTACCAGACACATTTCCTGCAGAGTTATGACAACTGCCGAGGTATGTAAAATTTTCCAAATTCCGGTGATTCTACTTGAATTGTAAAGGGTATTCCAGAGACTGCACGTCCTGGAGAGTGACTATGCACTTTGAAGGTGCAAGGCGAATGCAGAAAGATGGTATGATGGTGATCGGTCTATTCAACAGGGTTAGTGCTTCGCTTCGGCCTTCAAACAAAAAACAAACAAAAAATCGTTCAGCTGTGCCTAACTGAAGGCTTCGGCCTTCAAACATGAAGGCGATGTCATCTGCATACTCCAGATCGACAAGGTTCTCACCGGAAACTATTTGAACACCGGGGTTTAAAAGGCATTCCAGCGTTCGTCAGGTTATTTCACCAATGACGAAGTTGAATAAGAGTGGAGAGAGTGGACACTCTTGTGGGACACCACTTTTGTAGGAAAGCTTTTGGAGAGCTCACCATACACTCTCACCCACCCAGAAGTATGCTAATATAGAGATCGGATTATGTTCACAAACTTCTGATGCGAGCACTCGTTTCGAAAACGGGTACTATTATCGATTCACCCCACTTACCTGGGATGGTCTATTTCTCCTAGATAAACACGAATAAGCTAGATGAGCACTGGCTGAGAAACCCAATGCCATCCTCGACGGAACTAGCAGCACGATGACGCTTGAGTGAAGACATACACATGGACACTTCTGAGACTGAAGACAGCTCCATACTAACAGTCCACCTTTCTTGATTGGAGGTAGCAGGTGGCCAACTGAATTGCTGTTCGAACAGCTGTGCCCAGCGGTCCAAACGCGCTGTTTTGCTGCATATCAGGGAGCCATTTCGGTCCCTGGTTATTTCGCCGACAAGAGATTTTCGAAGACCAGTCGAACCAATTAAGCGGAACAGTTTAAGGACGCTTCCAGCATTTTCTGCATCTTCCATTGTTTCGGCTTTCGGGTCAACCAAACTTCTCGGTCTGCACGGACACTCAGG